AAATCATAGAATCACAGAATGTTTTGGGTGGGAAGGGACCCCCAGAGGTCACCCAGCCCAACCCCCCTGCAGGAGCAGGGACACCTTGAACCACATCAGGTTGCTCACAGCCCCGGCCAACCTGGCCTGGAATGGTCCCAGGGATGGGGCCTCCACCCCCTCTCGGGGCAACCCCTGCCAGGGTTTCACCACCCTCACTGGAAAGAATTTCTTTCTTAGATCCAGTCTAAACCCACCCTGGTTCAGTTTAAAGCCATCCCCCCTTGTCCTGTCCCAGCTGGCCCTGCTAAAAAGCTTGTCCCCCCCTTTCCTCTGGGCCCCCTTGAAGCCCTGACCGGCCGCACTCAGCTCTGCCCGCAGCCTTCTCTTCTCCAGGCTGAACACCCCCAACTCTCCCAGCCTGGCCTCAGAGCAGAGGGGCTCCAGCCCTCGGAGCATTTTAGTAGCCCTCCCCTGGCCCCGCTCCAACAGGTCCATGTCCTCCTTGTGCTGAGGGCTCCCGAGCTGGACGCAGGGCTCCAGTGTTGAGTACTCTCAAATCCTTGAGAGCTCTTACTGTAAAGTGGGAGGGGAAATTAAGGTGGTTCTGAGAGGCAGTACCATCAGCCCCTGTTTATTATTCAGTGGCTTGTATCATTTTTATATTGTACCAAACATCTTGAGAGACTTTGTCTGATGCGTAGGGAAACCGAAGTTGGAATGATATTCAATCTGTAGCCTAGCACGGAATTAGCCATGGGAAAAAGCCACCATGCTGAGCTGATACTTTGCAGGCCCGCATCAGTAGGTTGTGTTCGTTTGCATTAGGGCATTTATTATTTTTTTTTACTTTTATTACAGTGGGGTATCTTGGTTTGGCAGTCACCTCTGTCAAGTGCATATCCCTGTACGTGACCTTCACGCACAGACCTGGCCCCTGCGTTAAGTCACAAAACCGGTAGAAACCTAAACCAGAATTGCTTAGAAACTGAAGAAATTACCCCCCTTGATGTCTGTGTTTCTTTGTGGTAAAGCCTCAGTCTTTCCCATCTGGAAAGACTTGGATACCCAGTACAGAAACACTGCGGTCTGCACAAATTATCTGAATGGTCTTCTGGTGGTAATAGAAAACTAGTTCCTTTGTTATGTGTACCTAAAAAACGATAGATTTTCTTTTCCCTCCTAAGTCTACTGGAGGATAAGCCACTGGCCATGGGAAAAAAGCTGAGCTTTAAATCCAAAAGAATAGATTGTTTCTCCTTCTTTCGTAACTCTACCAGCTGAACAGATTTTTCTCGTGCTTGTCCTGTACTTCCCCCACAACAATATTTCGGGGCGTGAGACCAAGAGTGAAGTTTGATTTCTGAACTGGAAGGACGAATTCCTGAGATAGGGTGTAAATACTTGCTGAGGAAACGCCTCGTTGTGTTGTGTACCAGATATGCTACCGGGGATGGCTGAACGTGTCCTTCACATAAATGCCCATCTCCTTTTGGGCAGTCAGTTCAGAAGATGTTAGCGATTTACCGAGGGGCTTTTAGATTCTGAAATAGCTTTCTCGGTTTTACATACAGGTTGGGGGATATATGAGCTTTTTTAGAGGCACAAATCTGAGTTGACAGAGTTGGCCTGAAACAAGTAAAACTTCTTTTTTCTTTTTTTTTTTTTTTCTCTCCTTAATTATGAGTAGCGCTGATCCTGTCAGCAGCATTCCAGAAAGTAGAGTGATTGTTGTTCCCAGGTGCTTTAACAAGTTCAGGCAGGAAAACAGATTTGCTGTTTAAATAAAAAATATGTGGAGAATGGCAAAACCGACTTAGCCCTTTTGGTATTTGTATATTGTATTTTGGTATTTGTATATTGTATTTTGATATTTGTATTTGTTCCAGGGCGTATACCAGAACAGATGACTAGGCTGAGTGAAAATGAAGTGTTATTTAAATAAAACAATAATTGAGAGGCTTTCAGTACTATATGTGATGTCTTGCTCCGTACTTATTTTTACAGTTCATCCTTAGCCTTTGAGACTCCTATGAAAAAAATGATAGGCTTTGCTGAAGGTCTGTCTCCACACAAGAAATCGAGAAATAATTGGTTTGCTTCTCAAATAAAATGGTCATCGAGCTCCAGTGATGAGATGAAAGAAAATGAGGCTGCCAGGGCGAAGCCGGTGCTGTCGAGGAGGCTGGATATTTCGCCCCTTTGGGCAGCCAGTGTTCCCACAGCTGCACAGAGGGAGTCCCCAAGGAAATTATCCCCAAAGGCCGCGTCCTCATACAAGCCCCTTGTGCCTGTGGTGTCTTTTTACAGCAAGGAAAAGCATTACCTTACTCCTCTTGAGAGGAAAGAACTGAATGAGAAACGCTCTTTGGGCGAGAGGAATAGGGATGAAAATCTCCCAGCTGCCAGCAGGACCGAGAAGATGAACGTGACCTTGAGCAGGAACACGAGCTCAAAGCCAACCAAGCAGGCAGCCAACCCCAAGCATAGCAGAACTGTCCCCAAAACGCTTAAGAAGGCAAAGGGAGAGATCCCAGCGGGAAAACCCAATGTGGAGAAAGAGAATGTGAATTGCCTAATTAAAAAGAAGATGGATTCACCCTTCAGAGTCCTAAGCATGACAGTTAAGCCAGCCCTGAAACTCCAGTTGGGAGCAGCGTTCTTTTCTGCCAGGAAGAAATCACACTCTAAAAAACCAGTTGTAGACACTAAATCTCTCCAGGGTCTCCCCAAATCTCTGCAAGAAAACGATCAGCCTGAACCACCGACAACGACCAAGTCTAATTCAGCAGATGGAAACAAAATTCTTGAGGCGGCTGGTGTGCTGAGAAGTATTCCCGTGCCTCAGAAGAAGGAAAATGAAAACAGGAAGGACTTTACGAACTGTGCAAATCGACAGAGAGATTTGGCAGCTCTGCAGAAAAGCAGAAGCAGCTCCAGTCTGCTTTGTACTTCCAGGTCTGCAGCCGCAGGAGACGGCGATGCGGAGAACGTGGTAAGTGGAGGCATCATCAGGACGCACGGAGGCGTTCAGGTGACACGCACAGAGCTCGCTGAGCAAGCTGGAAGTAACACGTGCTCTGGTTATTTGGATGTAGGGTGGTTATTCAGAGAGATTAGTGGATTTTTGCCTGGGAAAACTCGGATTTATTCCTGCCTTGCGAAGGCGTAAAACTGTGGTAAACTTTCAGGAAGTTCTCATCAGCATCCCTGTCCGCCGCTAGCTTGTGGTCACAGTGAAATGTTCCACCTACGACAGCCGAAAGGAAAGCTTCCTGCCTGTTTGTGCAGAAGGCAACACGTGTCTTTTTTCATGATAAAGGGCAAAGTTTTTAAATGTCCTTTGTTTTTTTTTCCTCTTCTGTTTTAATAAATGTAACAAATGCCAAGTCTGACCTTGCTGAGTTTTGTGGGAGGTCTTTATTTAGAGATTTTTTTCCTCCCCCTGGTCACAAGCTGTTGCTTGCTGGTACAGCCCGTGCTGTAATTCAAGCAGCGCTAGCAGGCTTTGGTCTGCGCTGCGGTTATCTTCTTAGCGGGTTATTTTCTCAGCAGGCACTATGTGAGCTAGTTCTGCAGCCCCCCTCGCTGAGGAAGCGAGACTAAGCCCCGGGTTCTCAGGCTTTATCCAACCAACAATGAGTTTTCTGAAGAACTGCAACCTTTTTTATATATCACTGAAGAGGTATAAGCAGTTTTTACCTGTTGCTGCCTTAGCAGTGAATACTCCTGGTGATAGAAAAGTATTGTGGTTTGGGTTGGGTTTTTTTTTTTATTTTAACATACATTTGATTCTTGTGCAAATATGTTCAGCAGTGCTGGAACAGTTAAACTTTGCAATGAGTCCTGCTTATTGCCAACCAGTTAATGGTTGCCAGACCTAAAATTGAAAGATTTTATGATTTGCCAGAGAATTGTTTAGCTTGGGACGTGGGTTTTGCTTCCTAACGTGGGGCTTAGGTTTGAAAGGTAAGGTGGAACGAGCGCAGCAGTAAAATACA